TGGGCTGGCGGGGAGCGCTCCAGCCGGCCGGCCCCGTCCGTGGCGCCCGAGCCGGACGGCTGCCCCGTGTGCGTGTGGCGGCAGCACAGCCGCGAGCTGCGCCTGGAGAGCATCAAGTCGCAAATCCTGAGCAAACTGCGGCTCAAGGAGGCGCCCAACATCAGCCGCGAGGTGGTGAAGCAACTGCTGCCCAAGGCGCCGCCGCTGCAGCAGATCCTGGACCTGCACGACTTCCAGGGCGACGCGCTGCAGCCCGAGGACTTCCTGGAGGAGGACGAGTACCACGCCACCACAGAGACCGTCATTAGCATGGCCCAGGAGAGTAAGTGGTTTGCGGGTCGTGAACGGTGGGGTGCTGGCTCCGGCTCCGGGAAGGGCTCCTTTTGCTCCCAAACGGGGCGCTCCTAGCTGCCCTGGCCCGGAAGCCTTTTCTGCAAAAACTTGACTGATTGGGGAGCGGGGGCTACTCTATAGAAGTTTTCCGAGTGCTAGAACGGTGGGGTGCTGGCTCCGGCTCCGGGAAGGGCTCCTTTTGCTCCCAAACGGGGCGCTCGTAGCTGCCCTGGCCCGGAAGCCTTTTCTGCAAAAACTTGACTGATTGGGGAGCGGGGGCTACTCTATAGAAGTTTTCCGAGTGCTGGAGATGGGCTGCGGAGTTGTGTACACGCCCCGTTTCTGGAGTGGGGCGACAAACAGGGCAGATTTCGAGATGCTGCCTCTAGCCGGGGGTGGATTTCGAGATACTGCCTCCCACCCCCGGCGTGAGAAAAAGATCGGTGTTGAAGGAGTCAGGGGAAGCTGGGGCCCACAGCAGAGGGGACAGGGCAGCGACTCTATGCTGAAGGACTGTGGTGGGTAAACTGGAGAACAGAATCGGGAGGCTGCGGGACCCCCGCAGTACCAGCTGGGCTGCAGTGCTCTCTGCCTCCCAACCGTTCTGGCACCAATTCCTCACTCCGTGCTCCGCAACGCGCCCACCGGGCTGCAGAGAATGGAGTGAGTGCTCCTCTTCCTCTCCCAGGAATAGGATCCCAGAGCCCTGTAACCCTCCTGGCAGCCCAGCTGGCACTCTTTCCATCCTGAGCCTCGTCTCACACCGCATATCCCGAGGGGCCGGAAAAGCTTTGCCTTCTTGGTACTGACTGAGCTCAGACAACTCAACATCACTGCGCTGGGGGCTAAGGAGACCCATTTGGCTACTCAAACCCTAGTGTTCCATCCCTTATTCACCCGCCCCTACCCGCAGCTGGACTTAAGGAAAGAGATAGACCTAAGGAAAAAGAGAAAGAAATAGATGGGGAGGGGAGGAGTGGGGGGACCCAGGCATTCAAGCCCCTGGCCAAACGGAAGATGAACATGTTAATAAACATGGGCTGCTTTGAAATTTTATGGCCTGGAAAATCCAGGCCAATACTATATCTCCCCCGCTCCTTCCACCCCCCAGCTCTCCCTAGGGTCAAGTGACTCCTTCCCCTCCCCCACTGAGGTCTCCCCTCCTCTTAACTCCAGGGAACCAGGCCCTCTCTTATTCCCTAGTGGTTTGGCAAGTTCTCCCCCCTACACACACTGTTTAGTTTTATGGCTCTGAACAGAAGAGGGGGGAGACTGGTTTATTGGCAGATGGGTCGTAAAAAGCTGGAGGCTGGGGGGAGTCCTAGTGGCCCACCTCCATGGAAAAGGCACAGGAACCCAGGTGTGCATCTGGGAGGCTGACTGCCTCATACTGCCATTCGTATTTCTGCAGACGTCAACTTCATAGTACTTGGTCAGGGCTGTAAAAAAAACTCAAAGAAACCAGGAAACTAACTGGCAGCTGGCAGATAGGCGGAGGTTGAAGGCATGGGGATCTGGTCTTGGATTCTTCAGTCTCCCTTTTCTGTTCTTAAGGCTACTTATGGAAGCGAAGGGCAGTCTGAGATTGAGGGTGCAGGTGGGGGTGGGGATTCTAGGAAACAGAGAGTTGTAGAAGAATTCAACCAAGAGTTTGCTGGAAGATGAAGGTACAGAAGGAAAAGAGACTCTGGTCTATGTGGTGTAGTGTGTGTGAGGATTTCCAGGATGGGTGATGGGGCTGTAGACCTCCCCTTGCCCCTTAGCCCCTCACTATCCCTAGCATCCCTTAACCAACAGACAGAGTTAGCTCTGGTTAATGGGGAAGCAGGAAGTGAACGGACCCTGCATGCATGGAATGGGCAGTGCAGGTTAGGCCTGGGGGTGAGGGAAGGACACCAGCAGCTGGAGTCCCACCCCAGCTTCTGCTACCATGCCACCCTAGGACTTGTATAACTAGGTAACTGGGTCTTTGGCCAGGTATTGTACGTCCCCTTTAAGAGCCTAGCTGAGCTTTTAAGACAGGGAGGGGGAGCGGAGGGGAGGAGAGGGAGAGAGGGGAAAAGGAAAAAGAGACTTTTATAGTCTAATCCCCAGGGACCCGCTTTAATAAGAGACTTGTGCTCTGCTAATCGGGGGAGGTGTTTGTCAGCAGAGATGGCCTCCTCTCCCCTCCCCCTTCTTCCCCTCCCCCAGCTTCAACCCTGGACCCCAGCCCCCACCTCTCCTAGGCTGCTATGCCTGCCCTAGTTCCCTCTACCCTCTCAGGCACTCCCACTCCAGCCTTCATCCTGGGAACCCAGCCCCCTGCCCTTCTGGGAGCCAAGCCCAGCCCCTCAGTTTCTCTCTCCTCCCCATACCAAGAGGCCCCTGCCCTCTCAGCCCAACCTCCTGCCCCTAGGCTTTCCAGCCTGGGTTGGAAGAGTGTGTGTTGGGGTTGCGGGGGAGGGAGAAGAGGTGGTGCGCAGGGAGGGGGGTTGGGCTTTTGCTGAAAATAGTGCAATGACCTCTCTCCCCCATCAGCGCAGCCTACTAAACCTGACCTGCTGCCTACCACCAACCTGATCAATCCAACACAGATGTGGCTCCTTCCCCTCCCCACCGAAGCTGAGCTTATGTGTGCGTTGGAGCCTCTCTCAAGCCTGGTTTCCCTCTGTGTTTCTACCTGCTTCTCCTTTGTTCCTCCCTCTGTACCTTTTCTATTCTTTCCCTTCTTTACCCCACTAGGTTTAGCTCCCTCCCACCTTTATCTTCCTAACCCCCCACCCACTCCTTGCTATGTCCCTCTGCCCCCCACCCCCATGTTTTCCAACTCCCAAACTTATTTCTTCTCCTCTTACCATGATCTTCCCCTCTCCTCCTACTCTAGCCTCCATTTCTCTGTCTCCTCTAACCTGCCTTCATCCCTAAGTCTTCTCTATTCTTATCTCTCTCACCATCTCTAGTCTCTCCCATCTCTTCCCCTGTCCCTTTTCTTTCTCCTTATGTCCTGTCCCCTTGTAGCACTGACTATTCCCATATCCACTAGGGGAGAAGTGTATGGTGATAACCTGGGGTGGAGATGGGGAACGGCTGTCTGAAGGAACCAAGGACTTAGAGGGACAGGGCCCTTGTTGCCCAGTCTCTCACTTCAAAACCCTGGGTCAGCTTAGGTAGGGGGGTAGGTTTACAGATTAGAAAACTAGCAAACCAACATTTATTGAGAAGTTACTATTATTTCACATTCTTTATTTAATGCTCAGCACTCCAGTGAAGCAAGAATTATTATCTGTATCACACTGAGAAGATTAGTGGGTAAGGTCTGATAGTAGTTAACAAGGAATTAGGCAGTGATTAAACCCACTTCAGTTGTAGCCAAAGAACAGAGTTTAGATGCCAGGAAGAACTTTCAGGCACTTGCCTGTATATTTTAAGATTGGGAGTTTAGGGAGTTCATTCAGCATGTATTTATTGAAAACTGCCTGGTACTATGGGAGGCACTAAAGCTACAATGATGAGCAAAATATACATAGTATCAACAGACAGTGTCCACCATCATGGAGATAAGTACCTAATGGTAAGAAAATAGACAATTCCTAAGGACTGGCAGGCTAGCTCAGTTGGTTAGAGCACAGCCTTGTAACACCAAGGTCAAAGGTTCAGTTCCCCTTACCTGCCAGCCAGCCACCCCACAAAAAGCAAAGAAAACAGACAATTCCTACATGAAAATTAAGCATACTATGCCATTTGGGTTGTTGCTTGTCACTCCCCCATCACCAGTAGTTTCCCTACCCCAGCTACTCTCTTAATCTCTGAATTGTACCTCTCCAAACCCTACTCCATTGCACCATCACTGAAGCTCCAGCCAGTAGGGTAACTGGGAGGACTACCAGAGCCGTGGGACCTCAGAAAAATCAAGAAAAAAAGGAGGACTTTGTGTATCATGACCTGAATATATGAAGATCATTAGGCACTTTCCTCTCCATCTTATTGCAGATTCCCCCTTCTCCTGGAGAGTAGGTTGGGGAGTGCTAATGGGAGACAACAGATGTTGAGGAAGCCCTCCATGATTATGCAGATCTGGGAATGATACATAAAGGCCTGGACTACCTGATCATACTTACATGGTTCTGGAAGCTCATTCCTGATTCTTCCTATCTAGAGTGAGAATAGATATTCCTGTCCACTGGAGACATGATTTAATAAATTAGGAAGCAGAACTGGAAGGAGCTGGAATGAAAGCAGAGTCCAGATTACCAATTCCACCCAAGGCTGCTGATCCCCTCCATGAACACTCTGCTGATGCTGTGCCCCCTTTTCTCTTATCAGCGGACCCTGCAGTACAGACAGATGGCAGCCCTCTCTGCTGTCATTTCCACTTCAGCCCCAAGGTGATGTTCACAAAGGTACTGAAGGCCCAGCTGTGGGTGTACCTACGGCCTGTGCCCCGCCCAGCCACGGTCTACCTGCAGATCTTGCGACTGAAACCCCTAACTGGAGAAGGGACCACAGGGGGAGGGGGCGGAGGCCGGCGTCACATCCGTATCCGCTCACTCAAGATTGAGCTGCACTCACGCTCTGGCCACTGGCAGAGCATTGACTTCAAGCAAGTGCTACACAGCTGGTTCCGCCAGCCACAGAGCAACTGGGGCATCGAGATCAACGCCTTTGATCCCAGTGGCACAGACCTGGCTGTCACCTCCCTAGGGCCAGGAGCTGAGGGGCTGGTGAGCAGGGGGCCTGACATGGTGGTGGATATGTGGGCCTGAGGATATGTGGCCCTGAGGAGGTGGGGATGTTGGAAAAGCTAGACCAGGAATGTGAAGAAGGTTGGGGACCAGCGTTTTCTCTCTGGGGCCAGGAGTTGGTTCTACAGGAGGAGTTGGTGGGGGGTGGGGAGTGAGGTGGCAACTATCACTTTTCAGAGATCCAAGCCAGAACAGCTGAAAACTGGATTTGGGGTGAAGGTGCCAGTTAACAGGAGATCCGTGGGAACAAAGAAACTGGCTGTTAATGAGGCCCTAGGCCAATTAGCTGATGAGGGTCAGGTTTCAAGGACAGGAAGAATTTGGGGAGTTGAAGGAGAGATGGGCTAGCTGACAAGAAAACTGGGTATAAGATAAGGTCTGGGGGTGGGAGCAGTGGAAAAGCTTAAAGTCAGTGGTCTTTGTTCTGATGCCCCTGTTGAGAGGCAGGTGGGAAAGGAATAGGGAAGAGGAATTGTTCAGGGCTGTCTCACATCTCTTTTCTCTCTCCCTGATCCTCAGCATCCTTTCATGGAGCTCCGAGTCCTAGAGAACACAAAACGGTCTCGGCGGAACCTGGGTCTGGACTGCGATGAGCACTCAAGCGAGTCACGTTGCTGCCGATACCCCCTCACAGTAGACTTTGAGGCTTTTGGCTGGGACTGGATCATCGCACCTAAGCGCTATAAGGCCAACTACTGCTCCGGCCAGTGCGAGTACATGTTCATGCAAAAGTATCCGCACACCCACTTGGTGCAACAGGCCAACCCAAGAGGCTCTGCTGGGCCTTGCTGTACGCCCACCAAGATGTCCCCAATCAACATGCTCTACTTCAATGACAAACAGCAGATTATCTACGGCAAGATTCCTGGCATGGTGGTGGACCGCTGTGGCTGCTCCTAAGGTGGGGGACAGAGGATGCCTCCCCCACAGGCCCTAATCCAAGACCCCCAGCCCTGACCCCCATCCCCCCAAGCCCTAGAGCTCCCTCCACCTCTTCCCATGAACATCACACCTTGTTCCCTGACCAAGCAGTGTGCAATACAACAGAGGGAGGCAGGTTGGGATTGAGGAGTGAGGGGTTTGGGGGAAAGGGGCACGGTCAGGGTGGGGAGTGTTTGAGGTTTGTAGGTGAGAAGGTTTGGCAAGAAGACAGAGAGGTGTAGAGACAGAGGAAGAGACAGAGGGATAGAGACAGAGGAACAAAAAGAGCAGCAGTTAGAAGGAAAAGGGTAGAGAAGCAGAAGAGACAGATTAGGCAGAGACAAACACAGAGAAAGAGACTGGCTTGGAGTAATAAATGAAAGCCCCACACCAAGCCTCCTTTCTTCCACTGGCAAGGTGACAGGCTTGTGTAGTTTGGGGTGATCCCCTGACTACTCAGTAGGAGAGAAAAAAGAAAAATCCTTAGCTTCTTCCTTCTCTTCCTCCAACAATGGCCAGGGGAAGGGAAGCAAGGGCAAGGCCAGAAGGAAGGATTTGAGGAATTTTATTTATTTATTTATTGTGACTTTTCTTTTGGTATTTGGCTTTACTGGAATAGGAGGGCCCCTGCCCACTGTGCCCTGTTTGTCCCTTATTCTCCAAACCCTGCTCTCCCCCAATACCCACCCACTTAAGCACTTGTATAAAGTCTCCAGGGCTGGGAATGAGAGTAAAGGGCAAGAGGGCTGACACATGGAAGTTTCTAACCCATAATCATCCTAACTCAACCTTCCTGAGCCAAATGGGTTGAACTGAAGCCAGTGGTCATGGAAACAGTGAGGTCAGGGCTTAAGAGCTGGGGGGGGAGAGGGTTGGGAGGGTGAAGCCCTCAACATCCAGGATCTATATAATGAAAGCCACTAAATTAATCCTCAGGTCCACCCTCATGGTATTGAGTTAAATAACCAGAGGGTGCAGCCTGCTTATGCCCAAATTCCCTCAGCCAAGAGAAAGACCAAAGAGCCTGTGGAATGCCCCTGCTCCCAACCTCTATCTTCAGGTCAATTAAAAAAAAGAATATAGAGATCCCAGAGTCCCCCAGAGTCTGGGAGAGGTTAGAATGGGTCAAGAAAGGAGTAGTGAGGCTTAAGGTTACAGGGCACTTGAATCCAAATCACTGCTCTGGGCTAGGGAATAGAGCCAGCAGACCAAGGTGGAAGGGATTCTGGAAGGGGGACATTTTAGTTCCTCAAACCCAAAGCTCAGGGTGGAAGGGGGGAGAACAAGGGAGCAGAGTGTCTATAATTATTTTTATCTTTTATTTTTGGAATCTAGCAGTACCTGGCAGCAGGGAGGGGATAATACAGTGGGGAAAAACATCTGACAAGGCCAGTTAGAGCAGAGGATGGGAAGGATGGAGACTCCCTGGTTTGGAAGGCTAGGAAGTAGGCAGAGACTGGCTGCCATGTCACGTCACTAGCTGGGCCCATTCATTCCTCCCACAATCCTGATCCAACCTCCTCTGGACTCACTGTGCCTCAGTTTCTTCCCCTCGATGGAAAGAGAAATAGCAGCACAAGCCACAGCCAAGAGACGAATTCTGAGCACTTACCACGGGCACTTTATGGACATAAAATACCTCTCGCTGTGGGACAGATAACCAGGGCACCAGAGTAGTGGTGAAGAGATGTGAGGCTTAGAGAAGTCACAGGCTTCAGAAAACAAGTTCCCCTCTGCCTCCCAGCTGGACAGTGCCTGAAGTCAAGGAGTTGAGAATTTCCAGATCTACACCCTATCCATACCTCACCACCAGACCTCTTGGCTCCACCCAAGAGACTAGAGGATATCAGGAGAGGAGGGGGATAGAACTTCAGCAAAATGATCAGCGTAACAGCCAGCAGTTACGGGTCTGATACAAGCAGTACTGAACTAGAGTAAAGCCCGAGCTGGACAACAGATCTGGAAGGCTTGTTCTTTCCAAGAACATGACTCTCCCACTTGGCCCAGACGCTGCAAGGGGCAAAGGTATGTGACCACCCTTGGGAAGGTGATGTTGGTGAGCTTAACATCTTATTCATATTCTCATGGTGAGAAAGTGAGATAAAATATTTCAGTAGAGGAATGGGCAGGGACTTGCTTTCTCCCATATACCAGCTATGCTAACCCCAAGCCTCTCCTCTCTTGCCTTGTTCTTCATCCTTCCTTCTACCCCAATCTTGGAGAACAAGACACACCTGACCATCAACACCATTCACATTTCTTTGGTGGAAGTAGATGAACAGAGAAGTGAAGAACAGAAGAATGCCTCCCTCCAAGGTCAAATGCCTCTTGATCTTGGCACAGGGTGGGGGTTGGGCAATAGGCATCAGGTAACTTCCCTCTAGAGAATCTAGAGAGCTGGGGCATTGAACTTGGGGGACACTTAGAATATTGCCCCTTTAATACCACCAAATAAAGACCTTTTGGGGGGGGGGGGGTCTTTCTCTTACGAACAGAAATCCATAAGCTGAAGTCTCATTCCCCTGTTCCTCCCTACTCCCAAAGAGGCATGGGGTAAAGAGGCTTGGGGGCATATCCCAGCAACCCAGTGGGAGCTAGCACCCCCTCCCACCTTATGATATGTGTGGACCTGGCCAGTGCCCCTCTGAACATATCATTATTAGTGTAACTATTATTTACTTTGTGTATTTGTTACATCGTATGTGCGATTGCCTTTGTTTGTTAAGGGTGTCTGAGGAGTACGGGGCTGACAGGGGCACTGGAATGTCGGAAAAGGACTTCTTCATGAGATCAAGGCTTCCTGGAGGGACCATTGCAAAAAGGCCATCAGGCAGTTTTCAAGTTATGTGACAGAGGGCAAAGATGGCCATAGGGTGCTCTGAGTTTTGGGATGGTCACATGACACAATTCAGCACTTGAACCTGAAAAAAGAAAAATAAAAGCAAAGAGTTTAGAATTCAGTGCTGAGCTCTTCTCCCTAACTAAGCGCCACATTTATACATTGGAGACCAGGAACTGAAGAGGATCTGGGAGAGGAAACCTGTACTCAAGGGCTGAGAAGATCAGGTCTTTAGAGCAGGAGAAAAAAATAATATGGGCATGTGGGATGAGGGTTGGGATATGCAGTCCAAGGGAGGATGGACAAAGGAGGGAACCCAGAACAACTCTTCTCTAGAGAGCTTGATCCAAAACAGTCCCAAAGATTACAAAAGTCCTCTCCCAGCCTCCAAAGAATGGAAAATCTAAAAGTTGCCTTGAGATGATCCAGCTAATGTCTGTCTCCTATTCTTCTGAAGTCCCTTATCCTAGGTTTCCTCAACTAAGTTTCACCAAAATCCATAAACCAAACCAACACAGATTCAACTTGCCAGTGTAATAAGAGTGTTTAAGCATCTCAAATATTCTTTGAGTGAGTCCACTGTCAAAAATTCTCCCACGTACCAAGAACACAATTCCCAGGGCATAAGAGTTGAGAGTGACAAAAGAATCTTACCTGACTCATATTTTTTAAAAATGAGGAAATCTCCTTAACATCAACCTGACTCAGAATACGGGAAAGGACTACTGAGAGTTCAATGTGCCACCATGCTTTGCCCTGTCAGTTCTATCAGTATATTGACCCCACCCCAGTCCAACTACAAGACAGGTTGGGACTGAGTGAGGTTGAGACTGGGTGAGTAACAAAATGTTATGTATTGTATCCTCCCAAGGGAACTGCTTTATCAACCACTACCCCTAGCTTTTGGCCTGAGCCAAAAGTGGATTTCTTCCCTCTACTGCTCATTTGTTTCCTGTGTTGAGAGGACACCCAGAAGAGATTACAAAATAACTTTTAAGTCTTTTTTCCTTAAGGAAAAAAAAAAAGCTTCTCACGCACTGGGTTTTTTCTCCAACCCAGTGCACGAGCAGCTATCCTACAAGCTGCCTTTGCCCGTATTTTGGGTATCAGGGGCCCCAAGCTAAAAAGCAGCAGGCAGTGGCACTTACAGCTTTCCTGCCAGTAACCTGGAGTTAAGGAAGCTACTGGGATTCTTTCCATCTCTTCCTGGTCTCCAAACCCCCAAATACAACTGCATAAGCAGGTGTATGCACATATGCACATGCTCAAACTAGTCTTTCTCCTACCATCTAGCTGGAACCTACTCAGGGGAAAAAAATATTTCCACTGTACCCTCATCACCGAGTAAAATTAACAGCTAGTATTTATTGAATGATTACTATGTGAATATGATAAGTAAATTATGCTGAGTACATAATATAGTATCACTTAATTCTCGCAGCAACCTTCACAATAGGGTTCCTATTGGTACAGACTTTGGAAAGAATTACAGAATAATTTGCCCAGGGTTTCAGAGCTAGTGTGGTAGAAAAAGAAATTAAACCTAAGTTGTTGATACACAATATTATATTCCAATCTATTCCAGGGACAACAAAGAGGAAAGAGATAATGAGAAAGTTGGGAACACCTTGGATTCAAAGGGTCTGTAAGGGTCATTTTTCAGTTCATATCAAAAACTGTCATTTTTCAGTTCCTTTGGAGGGAAAAACAAGAAAAGTCTGGATACAGCAAGAGAAGGGGAGGTTACATTTTGGGAGGGATTTCAATAATCAGAAGTGGCATTGCCTGTCAGAGGCCCTCATAAGAAAACTGCTGAAATGGGATGAAAAAGTTATCCCTCTTTAAGTTCCTTCCTCCCCTTTCATCTGTGTTTCTCATGTCAGACACAGAAACAGGACTCAGCTCAACAAGTTCTCCCTTTATTCACACTTTCCTTCCTGTAGCCCTCAGCCCCACAGAAGCTTCTAGCCTTCTACCTTCAGCAGTTCTTAAGAGTTGAGGTGGGGGGAATGGCAGTTTCGAGTGATGGTGGAGAAAAAGAGAATGATCCTAGAGAACCATAAAAAGGTGCAGATTTACAGCTGAGGAAGCTAGTTCCCTCCACAGTTTTTATAGACGCCCTCATTAAGAGCTTCCAGGTATGCAGAGAATGTCACAGCTTCAGGACAAGGAAAAGAAGACTGGAGTCAACTAACCACATCTGGATGATGGATCAGTTACACTAGAGAGACTGGGGGATAGGAAAGAAGGATACTTGGATCCCAGATAAAGAATTATAAGCCTGGATGTCTGTTCTGTCTCCAAATGGACTTACTATTTTAAGACTGACTTAGGAAAAAGACACAGGCATCTTGATCTATTCATGCTCAAAAAGTATGTGTGGAATGACTACAATGACATAGGAAGAGGAGGATTTGGTGATCAAGCTTGGAGGTTACAGACTTCCAGCCAACATGTGGACAGCTGCTGAAATGGGATAAAAAAGGTTAGTAAAAAATCCTGCCAAATTAGGAAATACTGTATCAAAGATTTGGGGAAAGTGAGCTGAGGAGAATAATTAGGCTTCAAGAAGAGATCCTGGGGAGTAAGGCTGAATACCTTTCTGAAAGGTTAGAGAGGATAAAGAGACAAAGTGATCAAAACTTCTGAAGGAATGATTGTTCCACTCCATTATCAACATCTGCTCTATTCCCTTTTTTTTTTTTTTTTTTTTTTTTTCTAACCATTCTGGAGCAGAAACCCTCACTGAATCTATAATCTCTCTCAAGTTACAAAACAGAACTATTCTCTCTGGTTCTGTTTTCAGATGAAAACAGAGTGGACAGAGGAAAAAGCAAGCTCTAAGATCAGAGCCTGAAGTAAAGAAAAGGGAAGCAGAAAGAAAAGACAGCAGGAAGAGACAGAAGGTCTCTCCTACTGTAAGGTTTATTTGATTGAGATGATGTCAAAAATTTAACCAGCTTTCCCTTCTGTTCGTTTCTCCAAAGTCTCAGCATGGGGCAAAATTCACAACAAATGGGCAATCTTTGGATCTGCTCTCCAATGCACAGTTTTCCTAAAGTGTCTAAACTTAAGTCCCTGCCATCCTCACCAACCAGAGACTTTGCAGAAATAAAAAGATTCTTCATGTTAGGAAGGTGATCAAATCATTACCTTTCTAAGAATCACAAAACCAGGCAGGTTTTCTTAGAAATAAGGACAAAGGACAGTCTCAAAGTCCTCAAGTAAGGTGCCAGGCTCCTAAGTTTTACTGTCAAAAAACAAACAAAAACCAAACTTATACAGGTGCCCAGATATAAAGATTAAGAAGAGAAACCCTACACTAACACATCCAAAAAGTTAGAAAAACTGTTTCTGTTTACCAAACTGTTACCACCAAAACTGCAATAGCATCTTTCTGCAACAGAAGAGGACGAAGTAGGCACAGGGCTTGATTAGAAAGCAGAAGCCTCCACTACCACTGCTTATGTTCCCAATGATCTAGTAATAATGCTTAACATCTCTGTCATCCTGTCATGCTCTGAACCTACCTTTCTTCATCTTTGAGGGGTATCCAGCCATCTACTTTCCTAAATTGCATAACCAACATCATCCCACATATTGGCTTCTGCTGGAACCAGACAGTATCACATCAGGCCACTCTTGAAAACAAGGCCCTTCTTAATTTGGGACTCTGGACTCCATTTTATCCAACAAAAAGGCTTCATTATTAGCTAATAATAGAAGACTACTATTCATTAGCCCTTGTATTTATCCTTTGCACCTCCTAAAACTTCCCGTGTTTTTCCTGTTTTATCTAAGTGGGTCATTCCAACCTGCTGAAGCAAAGATTTAGGGGGTAACCTGGAGGATAAGAAAGTAAAAGGAGTGAGTATGAGAGAAGTGAATAAATAGGCTTAAAGGGTAGACTCAATCCTCTTCCTTGTCTTCTTTTCTAAGGGATAAAAGCATTATGGCTAATTCTCTATAATATCTGCCCCTGAAGTTCCCCTTATCTGTTCTAATCTTACTCCAAGAACTAAAAAGAGCACCTAATAAAACACAATGTTCTCTTTTCTATTTTTTTTTATTATTAACAAGCAAAATAATTAAAAACAAAAAAACACAACAACCTTAAAGTTAGAACAGCAATAAGTCAAAAATTGTTGCTGGAGTTCACAGATGTACCTGGGGTACATGCTCCCTCACTGAGTGGCAGGATGTAGGCACATGACTGCCTTTACAATATATGACCAAGAAGAATCAGAGAAATAGAAACCAATGGAAAATAGAAAGTATCAAAACTTTTCATCAGGCAATCCCAAAGCGCTCTGCTCTTTTCCTCTTCTTTGCCTGTAAAGAAGAAGCAAAAAGAAAAAAATTAGATTGCAAGACAGCAGCAGCCTGGTTTTCTGGCTGCTTTAATCCAAACTCACATGGGCTGTCACAAGGTCCAAGGAGGGATGGGTCAGACTTAAGCTTGGCAGCCAAAGATTTTGTTCCTGAATCTCTCATTATGCAGTTACAGCATGCGTGCGTGTGCATGTGTGTGCGTGTGCATGTGTGTCTTTAGAAAGAAAAGAGGGTAAAGAAGAAAGTAGATTATGGGGGGTGGGTGGGACAGGAGGAGAATAGTAATAGAAAACAGAAAGATTCTTGAAGGAGAGAGGTCTACAGCCTTACAGCAAGCTAGCCTGGAAACAATGGGCTCTTGAGCAGGCTGGGGAAAGTCTTCCAGTTAGTGTGGGAAGATGGGAGATTTCAGAAGACAAAGGGTTAATCAATGCTATCCATAAAGAAGGTGAAGGAGATGTCCTTCTGAGCAGTCAGGCCCAGGCAGTAGTTACTCCTCAGGTCTGCAATCCAGAGAAGCATATAAATCTTCAATGCCAACAGAATAAATTGGGCAGGAGGGACTTTTTGTGGTAAGTCCCTGTCATGGATCTATCAAGGGAGGAGGCATTGGAGAAGGCACAAAACCGGGGTGGGGAGTGTGACATGGACCTTTTTGTTCTGGAAGTGACTCACAAAACAGCAGAGTCCATCATTCTCACTCTAACCATTGTCCCCATCAAAGAAGGGAACTTATTTTCATCCCATTCACACAGAAGATTTAATATAAATTTAAAAAGAAAGCCAAATGCACATAAGCCCAGCCCACTCCATCTGGACTACAACACAATTCTCTAGAATCAAACAAAAATCATCTGGCTTATGTAAACCACATCACCTGCAAAAATTACTACTCCCTTACATACAATGACTCTCCCAACAAAAGCAGTTGCTGTTCCTTGCCACCCAACCAAACCTCATCTTCCTTAACTTGGAAAGGCCAAAAGTACCTTTTACTGAGCATGCCTGGTTTAACAATAGTTTCCTTGGCAAGGAGGGAGGAATTTTAACCAGAATTAAAGTAAGCCTAAGTTTACTTCTAGTTCGTTCTGGTAAGTCAGTAAGTAAACAGATACCTACAACAGGTAGTGTTTTATTTTCAGTAGCACAAAGAATACAAACTCCTTTAATTTTTTTCCTAGTGGAGAGTGTAAACTGATCTGACTCTAAAATTTTCAGGATTTATTTACAAAACTGACTCTAACATTTACTCATTAAAAGCACTTTACAAGATTTTGAGTGTGTAAGGTAATAGATAATTAGAAGCTATCTCCAGAGGTAGATGGAAAGAATTAAACTTGGATAAAATAGAAGCAAATTCCTTTCCACCCAAGAAGCTGCTATAATTCTAAAATAATCATTATTTTAATTGCTCTTTATGTATACCCTAGGTGACACCTCGTCTCCATTACAGACATAAATCAGCAAATCAACATTATCTGTCAATGCTTAATCTTGGTGAATGTGAGTTACCCAAGGGGAACCTAAGATACGGATGAACACAAGTCTTTAAACAAAGCCACCCTTCCATTTTGTGCAACTATGTGTAAACAAAATGATAAGAATGAGAATTCTCATTTGGGTCCACTGTCCTATTCCAGAGGAGAGTAAGGCACAGCTATACTTGTGTCTGGGTTGGAGATGACCTTCATTTTAAATGATGTAAGGAAATATGCACAGCAGATAATAATAGACACTATTGCTTACTGAATACTACAATATGATGGGAATCATTCCAAGTATTTTACATAGAACCATCCTTTTTTACATAGTATCATTTCATTTCATTCTCAAAATGCCACTTTTTTCTTTTTTTGGTGACTGGTGGGTACAGAAATCTGAACCCTTGACCCTGGTGTTATAACACCACACACTAACCAACTGAACTAACTGGCCAGCCCTAAAATACCACTTTGAAGTAGATATATTATCTCCTCTTTCCCAGATGATGAAACTAAGGCTCAGGAAAGTACTATAACTTACAAGTAATACTAAGTGGCAGAGCCACTTTTTAAATCCAAGCCTACCTGATTCCAAATCTTGTGCTCTTTACTACTAGACCAACAGAGTCTAACACTGAAGTAAGTATACTAATGGAATTCAGCGTGGCCACTTTATCCAGTGAAAAAGTTAACAAGCAAAAGGCAAAATATCTTGTAACTCGGGCATTTAAGAAATAGGCTGGGGATACAGATCGTTTCTCCACTCAGTTTATTCACCCTTATTTCCCTTCAAGATTCTATGAAGCATTCTAGGTATATTTTACCTCTGTATCCTCTGTGGTTCCAGTTCCAGCTGAACTTGTGACAATCCCAAATCGCTCCTTCCTTTTTTTTAGTTTCTCATCATCTTCAGACTGTTCAGGGACAAAGAAAAGGGTTAAAACAAGCTAGCGTCCACTCACAACATAAATGGGAATGAAACTATAACAATTATTGGTCACAATATGCCAACTAACCTTGTGCCAAAAACTAAGGATCACACAAACAGTAAAGACAGATAAGAAACTGAATAAGCTAGCTTACACTGTGTGGTACCTGGAATGACTAAAAACTTAATTTTAAGTAGGGCCTCAATACTCATAAGATAAGTAGAGTGGGACAGGCCAGTTAGCTCAGTTGGTTAGAGTGGTATTGATAACACTGAGGTACAGGGTTCGATCCCTGTACCAGCCAGCTGCCACTAAAAAAAAAAAAAAAAGACAAGTAGAGTGAAAACACAGTTTAAGAAACTCCAATAAAACAAATTTATGTGCTCACGAAATTTTGGCAGTTCAGAGATATGGAAAACTGACGTTTCACTGAGTAACAGCTGCAGAGAACAGGTTGGTAGAAGGCACCCAAACTACTTGTTGAGCACTGCATGCAAGTTCCATTTACTTACCAAGGAAGGGAGGGGGAGAGGGCCTGAGTGGTGTTTCTGAAGAACTTATTTGCTTGAAATACCCAGCAAAGTCATATAAGGTTGTGAATAGTTCGAAATGATTTTGAAAAAAGGTGAGTCAAAGTGACATTTCTTTAAAAGAGAGATGCTCTGGACCTTTTCCAAGCATCCATGAGACTTATGATGTCTGCCTAATAATTAGAATATTTCAGTTTACTATGAGTTGGATCCAACCATTCTCCTATAGCTGTTTTAAAGATTGAGCTACTGTTCATATACAACACTGTTCAATATAAGAGTCTGGTAAATAGTCCCATCCGGACCTAAACCATACTGCTTCAGTTATCCCACTTAACCATTTATTTTTTCCTTCTCCACCTTGCCCTCACACCCAGTCACCAGTAATCAAAAGCTCATCTCTAGGATTAGTAAACATCTGAAATCAAGTAGGCTCGCGTGTGTTTTTTCCCCCAAGAAGGATTTTCTAAAACTTGGCTCACCTCTACAAAGATCCCATCCTATGATAATCTCGACAGACCATCTACTTCATACAGGAACACCCACCCTCAGCACTAGGCAAGACAGTTTCTTCGACTTTATTTACAAAAGGTAACCCAACAGAAGGCCAGCTCAAGCTTTCAAACAAACTTTTAAACAAGCTTCTGAGGTGTATTTTTTTTTTTTTTTACACTCTAAGGAATTTATTTTCCTACAGTCTATAGTCTATTTCTTTCTGGGTGTCCCAAAACCACAAGGGCTAAAGGAAAGGCAATCTAGAGACCTACAGAAACAGGTATTTTTCAGTACATCTACTTTCTTTTTTTTTTTTTTTCGTTTTTGTCTTTTTTCATGACCGGCAACGGATCGCAACCCTCAGTGTCGCGCCCGTACCGGACCGGGACCGGCAACGGGATCGCAACCCTCGGTGTTGCGCCTGCACCTCGCTCAGCCAGTGAGCGGCCAGTCCGTATGTGGGATCTGAACCCTCGGCGGGAGCGCCGCCACACTCCCAAGCAGCGCACTGTAGCAGTGCGCCACCGGGCCGGCCCCAGTACATCTACTTTCAACCCCAACCAAGGAACTGCCTTTGTCCCTATGACCACAGCAGCCACCTCTACAGTCAAAAGCAGGACAGCGATTGAGCTATCTGTGCTCAATTTGTTTAACTAGTCCACCTCTCTGAAATAGCAGGCAGAAGTACTGTCTTGGTCTTACTTTGACTCTTCCAGCTTGAGAAAGATGTTAATTTTCTCCCTTTTGCTGCACTTGCTTTCAAGTGAGTAGGAAGGGAACTAAGAAAGGTTGGTGGCTATGAAGGAGTGAAGAATCCTACATGAGTTATCATTTAATCACAGTGTAATACTAGAATAAACTATTGCCTACATAGTTTTCCTACCTTTTTCATTATAACCATTAGCAAATCCATAGTGGGCACCTAATTAATGTAACCTAAACTACTATAAAACACTAAGCCAGATTCCAAGAAAAAAAGAAGTATTCTTCTCCTTAATAATAATAAATTAAAATAATAATATTATAGCCACTAACACTGGAGTGCTTACTATGTGCCAGGTACTGTGTGGAGTTCTTTACATGCAATATCTCATTTACTTCTTGTAACAATTCTATGAAGTAGGCACCATGGCTAAATTCATTTCATAGATATGCCCAAAGTCTCACAAACAGTAATAAGTGGCAGAGCCAGGAGTAGAACCCAGTATTCTTTACTCAAGGACCCACTTTCCTAACTTTACTGTCTCTTCAGGTATCTCACACAAGCATTTCTTTGGAAGCATAGTAGGAGAATGGAGGAATTAACCAAGGCAGAAGGATCACTAGGCCCCTTAGCTAATAGTATTTGTAAATTATTTTAATCACTTACATATCACTCAAATAACTGGGTCAATAAAAGGATTCCCATCTCCTTTCTGCCACACCATATGCCTTCACTAGGGATCTAAGGAAAGGACTCCAGTTAGTAATCTTACATTAAAAATTTTCACAGCTGAATTTGTTTCTAACTTTGGCTTACTGGCTATTCCATCTGTTGAACTGTAATAAAGGAATTAGGAGGGTTTATAACTAACACAGTCTCACCATATTTTTCACTACCAAAGTCAGGGGAGCAGTTTTCTTGATTTTGTCTACCACCACCAAGATAAAAGTGAATAAGGGATACAAATGGAGATATCAAAATGAGAACCCCTAGAATATTCTAGATGATATTTCTCTATTTCCATAAGTCTCCTGGCCAAGTAGGAAACTGTTTCAGGGGGAATAAAAAGAGCATCCCTTTTGGGGGAGAGGCAGTACTAGACCAATATCTGGCTGAACTACCACTATGAACCTTTTCTTCATTTAATTTAGTACTAAGAATAGTTCAGCAAGTTCAAATCACAGAGAAGGAGATGCTGCTTTTGAAACCCAGCTATTATCTCAGCACAAACCCTGAGGCTACTCCCTTCACAAATCTCATCACAAAACCTATGTCCATTTGGCATGTACGGGACAGTCTTTCTCCTTGCTCTTTATTTTGCTATGCCCCTTTAATTTTAATTCTAAATTAAATTTCCTGTATTTCTTTCTGAGCTCAAAAATGAGGAAAGAACAAGGAACAGGAACGGGACGGGGGGAAGCAGAGATACTTCTCTAGCCACTAAGGCTAGTATCAGAAATTTCCCCATGAGCTTCCCCTTTTAATCAAATCCTGGTGCCTCTCCTGGAGATCCAGACAGAGCATCTGCTCCAAACCCATCAGGGGCTCCAGCGGGGATGGACACACACACACACACACCCACACCAGATTCTCCGACCCCCTACAAACAGCTTGCCCTTCCCTCCCCACACAGCACCCCTCAGCTCCCCTCTTAAAGCTTCTTTCCTCTTAGCCCTGCAGGGAAAGTGCACAACAGGCCTAGTAAATCAACACTGTTCTAATGATCTCTCTCACTTGACCCTTCTAGCGTGAAGGTGCCTCATGGAAACAAATGTACAATAAACTTCACTCCATCTTTAACTCCTTGCTGACAGGTTTTGATTCATGGGATGGTGAGACCCATCTGAAGGAAATTACCTCGATCAAAACGCATCTCTCTTTGCATTCATCAGGCCAATGCTCCCCCAGGCCATGCTCAAGTGCACAAATGGGGTTGTGCATCTGCAGGCAGCACTGACCCCTCTAGCTCAGTGTCATATGCATTTGCAAACCTTTCCCTTCTTCATCCCTCCCCCACTTCCTTCCCCCAAACACTCAAGTACTAATAAATCTTTTTTTCCCATGCATATTTCTGTATGGGAAAAAAAGTTGCTTTACTCCTAAGTGCCCTTATTGCCAATCAAATGCAAACTTCTCAAAACATAAAACTTGCATCCAAAACCAGAGGAGAAACCTATCCTCACTGATGAAACACACAGGCATCGGATATTCAAACTAATCCATATACTTCTCTTCCCCATCCTCTCACTCCTCAAGTTTTTTTGTTTGTTTGTTTTTGTTTTTTTAAAGATGACGGATAAGGGCATCTCAACCCTTGGCTTGATGTTGTCAGCACCACGCTCAGCCAGTGAGCCAACCGGCCATCCCTACACAGGATCCGAACCCATGGCCTTGGTGTTATTAGCACCGCACTCTCCCAAGTGAGCCACAAGCCAGCCCTTCGCTCCTCAAGATTTAAAACACCAAGCCAACTAACTGACTGATGACAATAATTTCAGCATACACAAACCTCATGGCATCCAGTAACTGCTTTGTTTGCTTTCTTTTTAAAATCTCACTTATAAAACTAAGAAAGAATTGTGCAAGAGACAACCCTTATGAGAACAGGACAGAAAGCATGATCTATATTTAATAAAACTAACTACCCCCATGAATAAATGTCATTGTACTTTCCATTATGGAATAAAGACAGTTCCAAACTGAGCCCTTTAGAAAACATCCTCAACTTTTCAAAATTCACTTCTCTCCTTATTTCCCTTTTATGTTTGGAAAATCCTCAGGCAATATAAAGAAAATGATACCTGCTGAGGAAAAAGAAATTCAAGGTTGCTCCAAGATACAAATTACATGAGTGAAAGTGCTTTGCACACAGGAACTATCATATAAGGTGTATTCAATAAATGTTAGCCTTTTTTTGGAAGCTGGCCAGTGCAAGGATCCAAACCTGTGACTTTGGTGTAATAACACCACGCTCTAACCAACTGAGCTATCTGGCCAGCCCCAGCTATTATTTTTATAGCCACATTCCTCCTGGTCTTTGATTTGAAATGAAGTCTGAGACCACCAACAAAATCTCAAAGCTAACAATGTCATTCATTCTTCTAGATGAAAAGTGAAATCACCAAAGGTTGGTAAGAATCAGATACATCACCAAGACAAGGAAACTTTGGCTGCAAGAGAAATGAGTATGTATCTGGACAGATGACTAGATTTAGGGTTAAATTTTAGGGTGTAGCATAGTAGTAAATGGACAAAAC